CAGTGCCGTGCAGAAGTGTATTTTTAAATCATTTTCGAACGCAATGTTTTTGAGGAAAATGGCGAATCATGATATGCATTCGATGACATTTTGACATTTTTCTCGAAAACATTGCGTTTTACGAAAAAAATATAAAGAGACAAAAAGTTTCTAAGTTTAATGGCTTTCTAGTGGACTGATAATTTTTAAGAAATTTAAATATGCGACCAAATTTTTATGGCTCCAAAGACATAAAACCCCTGTGTACCAAATTTAGTGATTCTCGTACAACAGGGTTCTGAGATATAAAAAAAATAAAAAATACGGGTCCCCTAAATTTGTCCTAAGAATCTGTGACCAAATTTTGTTGCATGAATTTCGGGACACCCTGTATATAATAGTTGTTTTGATATCTGCATCCATATCTGCAACTGCTGATACCGAAAAAATGACGTCTGTAACATCCCTAATGTACTAGTACATTTTTTCATTCTATAGTACCAAAATGTATTAAAAAATGTTACTACAGGTCTTAGATTACATATTCGATGCGTCGGTTTTTGTGTTTCGGTTAACTATCTCTAAATTATTATTTAATCAGAACATTATGTGTGCAAGTTGATAATGTACTTCCATAACAAAATAGAGTTGATCATCATTCCTTATCAATACACGTGTATGTCATTCGATAAGAGTAACATATAATTCGACTATCTTTTTTTTAATCCAGTGACCCTTGGTCTTTATAATTCGGTTTATATACGAGGGTTGACTTTTATATTTCGGGAATGGACGATCATGGTGCTGCCATCTGACGACCGACGCACAGTGGTCGGATATCGATATTAGGTGGCCAAAAATGGGATAAATAAAATTTTCAATTTTTCTTGTTTTCTGTGTTACGAATGAACACCTAGCTTACAATTTAATATTTGCTGAAGCTTTTGAAAATTCATGTAAGTACATAGTGATTACTTAAAGTTAATGTTGATGTCATCAATGAAACATTTTTTTCATCTATGAAGTAATGAGCCTATGAAAAATCGCTTATTTTATTATTTAATCTATTCAGATTATTTTAATATTGAAAATTTTGTGACTATCAATTTGAATTCAAAACAGAACACACATTGTATTGTATAAAAAAACTTCCACTGACTTCCGCATTGATACTTATTTAGCATGAAGTATACAGGGTGATTCACAACTTATCCAAAAAAATTTGGGAGTAGATGCGGCATGAGAAATGGAGTCAATATGTAAAATTTTTTGTAAAATCCTTAGTTTCCGAGAAAAAAATTATTGAAGTTATAGTACATTCAACCACTACATAGCTGGACAACTGTAGTCTCTAGTGTCACTCGCAATACGCCAGGAGAGCTACATGGCCTTAGCGACTCCGAACACTGAAATCTGTCGTTGCGATAGTGTTTACCTCTTATCTGTGGTGTTTACAACAGTTTTTTAGTAGTTAGTGTCTAAAATGGTTTGCATGTATAGCAACTCGGAGTTGATGGATATCGTTTTAATTTATGTTGAAGCAAGACAACATTTCTGTTAGTTCGTAGAAAGTGAGTAAGACGGATCCAAATATGTTTACACGTTGGTGGATAAAATTTTGAACAATTGTTGTAACATCGGGTATGTCAAATGATTTTATTATTTAAAAACACAAATTAATTTTATGAATTAATAAAGGCAAAAGCATTTAAATTTGCCGATATAAAATAGATGATAGTAGTAGTAGTAGTAGTAGTAGTAGTAGTAGTAGTAGTAGTAGTAGTAGTAGTAGTAGTAGTAGTAGTAGTAGTAGTAGTTAGTAGTAGTAGTAGTAGTAGTAGTAGTAGTAGTAGTAGTAGTAGTAGTAGTAGTAGTAGTAGTAGTAGTAGTAGTAGTAGTATTTTGAATGAATATTTGATTTTTGGAATTTTTTATTTGAATTTTTGATTTGATTTTTTGATTTGAATTTTTGAATTTTCGATTATTTTGATTTTTAACAGGTTTTGTTATTACCTGTTTTCGTAAATCTTTGGTAGGGAACTTGGGTAAAGAAAACTACTAGCATAGCATGAAACTACTATATTCATTGAAGAGGATTAATTAAATTAAAACATCTCACTAAAAGTCTATGGTTAAACATCAACAAAACTTATTGTAGGTATTCAATTGAAACAATCTAAAATCTATTACACAGTAATCACATTCAGATAAATATCACAAATTGGAGAATTCCCCACAATATGACTTCACTTGTGGATTTCATAACAGGCATTTATACCGAGTGTCCAAAACAACCCCTCAACTCTCTGCTAAAATCTAGAATATTGAGTGGAATGCAAAATTCAGTCATCTTATGGTGAAAGGACCTTACCCGATCAATTGGAGATGTTATCAATTTCTAGTTCTGACCGGACGTAGCCTATTTGGACGGGAAGTCAGTTTTTATTTTCAAATAAAATAGTATATTTTTTTATAGCAGGTTTAAGTCATTTAGCAGTGTAGAATCGAAATCCGCAACAAAAATATATAGTATGTTATTTGTAAAAACTGACATCTGGTCTGAATAGGCTATTTCCGATTCCGACCAAAAACATCTCCAATTGATTGGGCAATGTCCACTTAGTATTACACGACTAAATTTCGCTTAATATTTTTGATTTTAGAAAGGGTGGACTGGTGGTTTTGGACACACGGTATAATCACAATATCACACAGCCCCAGCTATATTGTGATTAGTTTCTTTTGCTACGTCAGTTGAAAGAAATTATTATCCTTTTATGACGTTTAGTACAAACATGCAATTATACCGATTGATGGGTGTTATGAAATCCCTTTCTTCAACCATCACACTTTGTACTTCTGTGTTCTTCCCCCTATCATATAATTTCTGACAAGATTAGATATACAGCCTTTTATATAAAATTAAAATATGGTTTTATGTGATAAATGTATCGGCTATATATCCGTATTGTCTTAAAAAATAGGCCAAATATACAAAACTTAGTAAAACATTGTTTCAAATAAATACAGAAATCGTAACATCACAGCATTATATTATTTCTACATATTAATTTTTGACATCTTAAAAAATTACCAACTTGAACTTATGTTTACATTGCAGATAATAAATTTTTTCCATTTCCAAATTCAAAGACAAAAATTACAGATAGTCATATATGCAAAATTCGTGCAGTTTTAACTTTCATTCTTATGCCGGAACTAACTTTCCGATACGCCTTAGCACTTTATTTATTACAAATGTAAAATCTTGAGTAACAAGAGCCTTCCCAAATATAAGAAAAACAAAGATGTGTACTATTTATAATAAATCGGCCTATAAAGGAAGATTTTTAATAAAAATAATTATTTCATTATTTCTTTTGATGTAGTTTTCATAAATGTAAACTTTATGTAATCTACGAGGTTTGATCAACAAGTAACGGGAATTTTCAGATCGCGCGAGTTGCATCTTGTCTATCGAGTTGATTCTTTTTTGTGTATCGGCGGCACCATCAGTGACGTCAATTTTTGTCTAGCAAGCGAATGAGTACGGCTTAACACGTGTCTTTGGTGATTTTTTGTGTGGTGAAATGTCGGACTAGAGAGGTCGTCTGATATTTTGTGTCAAAAAAAGGATTAAGTGTAATAAAGTGTTCAAAATGTTAGGAAATGCATTTGGTGACAAAACTATGTCACAGCCCAAACTCAAATGGATACTCAAAAGACAACGTTTTTCAACAATGGAGGAGATAAAGGCAAAATCGCAACTGTGCTCAAGACCTAAAGAGGTGTTCCACCGGTGTCTCTCAAATTGAAAACTGCATATGACAGGGGACTATTTCGCAGGGGATGGTACAAAAATTTCAAATTAAACAAATGCTTTGAGAAAATTAACAATTCCCGTTACTTTTTGATCAAACCTCGTACACTGTATTACTAAAAGTGCTAAATTGGAATTAAAAAGGGAGAGACCACAATTTCATATTTAAAATTGAGAACGATCGTAAGAAATTTCTATGATAGACAGAAGCTCCATAATTAAAGTAAAACTGTGCAAATATATTATAAAATACGCCATAAGAGATATGTGGAAACATGAACCTAAATGACTGACGATGACCTTGGAAATTTGCATACATGATTTTCCTATCCTTAAAGTAAACATTCCATCGAAATCATTTTAAAACACATATGGCAGTGAAATTATACTAATTATAATGAAATTTAAAGTAATACTGAGATCAAGACATAAAATTTGGGTTTGATTATATTAGCCTGTGTACATCGTGTAGTCTGAATGTTTTTTAAATGTTACTCGACGCTTCAACGTTCAGCAAAAGAAACGTCCTATTATTTGAAAATTTTCCAGTCAGTCGTATTAAAAACTTTGAGAATATTTTAAGCCTCCCTTTACAATTATTATACAAAATATAATTTTGACCAGATCCATACTTAAATATACTGGACTTAAAAATAATGATATAAATTTGACAAAATAGCTCCTTCCACAGAATCAGTCAAATATGATTTCGTTAACTTTTACATTCTCGCGTATGATTTCAATCAATTTTTGCCACTGCTCTAACTTCACTGCCCAAACATTTAATTATTCTAAAACAAATGAAACCTCTTGTCGGTACTTACTGCCCGTGCCTTGCCGTCTGTACGGTATGAAGAATGATATGAATTTTTTTCAGGTTTCCTAAGAATTACATATGTAAAAATTAACATGGCATATTTATTCTCGGTGATTCTGCATGAGGTACGGATAAGGAAGTTTTATACGCAGTTTTCGAATCGTAATGTTGGAAAATACTATTAAGAGAGCGCTGCTACAAAACTTCCAAAACTAATGTTTTATATTCATATAATATAAATGTTATTATATATAGTATTAAAGTATTTACAATTGTGGTCACATATTTAATATGTACGGTGCAAAATACTTTTTTCTACTGTCACAATGTAATGTAAACCAAAAAAAAAAACAGTAGAAAAAAGTCTATACAAAAATATCAGTATATTCACATGTTAAATAAAAATTGTTCGAATAATAAAATATCTACTAAAAACATTAACATATTTAAATCATGATAAATACAATATACCACATTAAATCAAAATTTCTAACTTTAATAATGACACTTGAACAGTATTGTTTTAACAGGCAACAACAAATCATAAAACAATCATGTAGGACAGTGCAATATATATAGGATATAAATTTATACCCATATTTTATTATAACATGGGTTCAGGTGAGTGAAAATATATATTTTTATGGTTACCTAGTAATGGAACATTAATTTGTCATGTAGCGGTTGACTGTTCTCAGAGCGTATATCAGTTCGGCTTGCATCCTAGATTCTAACACCATAAGATTTACGTGGACCTGGAAACGAATACATATATTTAGAAATCACATTATTATTACGCCTTTTTGAGGCAATCATCTATCTTTTTCGTTTTGAGGGGCAATGTGGTCAAAATTAAAAAATTTGAAAACTCACTGTATACAGTGTGTCCAAGAAAAAGAGGGGATGGCATTAAGATCCAGGAAATGGTAAGAGATGCGGGGTGGCTTAAATTAGAAAAAAGTTGTGTTTTTTTGGGTAGTTCCGGGGATATCCGGAAAGACCCAAAATTTTGCAAAATCGTTTAATTTTTTTTTCTGGCATTATGTGAAAACGAATTTTAAAATAAATTGCATATTTACATTGCCACTTTTTTCACTCTATCAAATGACATCAACATTTTTGCAATTCAACGTTTCGTCTTCCAGGTTAATTTTTTTTAAAGACGTCATTGCTATTTTTATGACAAAATCAAGTCATTTTTAATTCTGAATTAGATGATATTACTATTGTAATCTCTTAAAAAGGTTTTTAACTTGTTTTAGCTATCATTTAAAATTTTTCCTGAGTACGGCTCTGANATTTTTTCTTTACAAAATTGTATTTGTAAGGGTCCCCTGTACATCCAGAATTTTTTTTTGGATAAGTTCCGAATCACCCTGTATAAACATAAAAACTGCCAGCGCTTTTCAATTCATAACAGATTGTATCTGTATGTAGCACCTTATGAGGACCATTGTCAACAAGTCTATCTCATTAAATTTTTATATTTTGCTGTTTTTATAATTTCTCGTCATTGATATTGTATTTTGTTTTTTCTATAATTTAATATTTTATAACATTTGCTTGATTATTTTGTAAGGGCTTATTTTATAATTTTTAATTAACCTATTAATGTATGTAAACTACAAATTAAAGAATTGATATCGGTTTAGTTAAATAGTAACATGGTTTATTTCACGCGACTTCAGTTATGTGAAGTACATATTATAATANATATTACTATTGTAATCTCTTAAAAAGGTTTTTAACTTGTTTTAGCTATCATTTAAAATTTTTCCTGAGTACGGCTCTGAACGCTTTCAAAATATCTATTGGAGGAAGTCTTTTTTCTAATTTGAGCCATCCCTTATCTCTTACCGTTTCCTAGATCCTAATGCTAACCCATCCTTACCTTGGACACACTGTATAAGAGACCAAAAATAATCAAGTCAAATAGATTTGATTTAAGAGGTATAATCTTTCCGATCCCAATTGAAGACCAAAGAGCTGGGCAGTATATACCAGGTTTGGTCGCTGACGCAGCAACTCGACATTGAAATATTTGAAAAACTTATTCCCATATCTATTTAGCCGTACACATATACAGGTTTGGTCGCCCAGTTGAAGAATGCGCGCGCGAGCAAACGATGCACAAACACAGCCGCACTGGGCGACCGGCCATAAATTTCAGTTGTTGACAAATTTCATTGCAGTAGAATTTGGTATGATTCAGGTAATTTTAATTTATTATCAACGAAATATAACCAGATAATATTGAATCAGTAGAACTGGTTGTTGATGAAATCGATTTAGAATTTAAAAATAAAGATTTACATGTTCAATGTCAGTGTTTCATTTTAAATATTTACAATTGTTTAAAAGAGGAAGAAAATGAAAAATCTGAAAATGAGATTAATAATAGAATTCGCATATTAACTAAAGTTTCAGTGCCCACAATTTTTCGTGTTATTAAACGAGGTGTTACAGATCATTGTGTAAAGATGAAGCGGAAACAAAAATTTAAAGATATCGATGACATGACGAGAGACTTAATTCGGCGGACAATTTATAATTTATATAAAGAATATTGACGACATAAATAATTAAAATATGTTGTTGGTCAAATCAACATATAATAGAAATTTTCTACACATTATATACAAACTATTATAATTTTTTACCTTCAGCAGAAAACTTTTTTAGGGGTGCCTATGAAACTGAAAAAATGTTTATTGCTATGCGTTTTTATACATGTTCAACTGACTTCGGAAAGACTATAACACCAGTGTAAAATGATAAATTAAATCGTCTTTTTTTTTAATGGAAGAAAAAATAAGGGAATAATAATATTTGAGGATATTAGTAACCATGTCTTTAAGTGTTTAAATAAAAATAATTAGTCTTAAACCATACAAAATGGCACTGAGGCATGTTGAAATTGAGGCACTCTGTGACGCTCAGTGTAACTGACGCTTTGGCATAAAACTTCTTTCCCCTTATTCTATAAGGTTCAAAGCATCTTTTAAATCAATAAGAAAAATTATGGTAAACGTATAAGGTTACCCATATTAAAAGTTTTTTTGTGATATTGAATTTCAGACCAATACAAAAATATGCTGATGTTTCCAATAACAGAGAAACCAACATTATAAATTTTATACCCTGTATACATAAATTCGGGGGAGGTCGGAGGACATACTATCTCCCCACTCCTTTCACCCACCATCATTATGCTATTTTGTTAGTTCAAAATAATAATTTCCTTCACCAAAGTCACCCGGCTGCAGAAACGGTAGCCTCTACCAAGATAAATTCGTTCCTGCTACTTCTTCCCAACCTCTTTGGGAAATTATGACTCCACTTTGCATAGGTTGGGTTTCATACAAGATGATTCACAACTTATCCAAAAAAAATTTGGGTCAATATTTAAAAAAAAATTTTTGAAAAAAATCCATTTAGTTTCTGAGAAAAAAATTATTGAAGTTGTAGTATATTCAACCATTACATAGCTGGACAACTGTAATCTCTAGTGTCATTCGCAATAAGCGTGGAGAGCTACGTGGCCTCAGGGACTCCGAATACTGAAATCCGATCTTACAATTATAGTTGCGTTAGTGTTTACCTGTTATATATGGCGTGTCAAAAATGGTGTGCGTGGATAGCAAATCAGAGTTGATAGATATCGTTTTAGTTTATGGTGAAGCAAGACAACATTTATATTAGTTCGTAGAAACTGAGTAAGACGGACCCAAATGTGTTTACACGTCGGTGGATAAAATGTTGAACAGTTGATGTAGCATTAGGTATGTCAAATTATTTTTATTATTTAAAACCACAAATTAATTTTATTAATTAATAATAACAATAATGGCAAAAGTAGTAGAATTTGCTGATATAAAATAGGTGCTATAAAATTCTATTTATTTATTTCCTTGCGAAAGTTTTTGCCCGTTTTTATCACACTTTGCCACCATGCCGGTTGCATTGTGTTAGATCAGGTTTTACAGTAGACCAGTTTCCAGTGCCGTATTTTTTAAATTATTTTCGAACTGCCTTTTCGATTTTTTCGTTACAAAATTGTATTTGTGAGTAAATCCGAAATTTTTTTTTTTGATAAGTTCTGAATTACCATGTATACAGAGTCTCCTACATAACTATGAAAATTTTCACCATAGTTCTTTAAAAGCAACAACTACTGTATAAATTTTTTTTGGAAAATCACATTTTTGTTTGGTACCTTGTATTGCTAACGAGAGCGCATTAAACAAACATTTAAGTAATATATGCAAATGATTTATGGAACGATCGACTATCTAAAATTTTTTTTGCTGATGAACTACAAATATTTTAAGCAAATCTTTTGATATTAAAAAAAAAGATGTGAATCAATGAATCAAAACTATTTTAAAAATGTGCTCCATTTTGGAGAGAAAGATAGTGGAGGGAGGGGGAAGGAGAGGAGGGGGAGAAAGGGGCGACAGGGAGGGGGGAGGAAAGAAAAAGAGAGATAAAGACTCTGAGCAATCTTTTTAGAATTTCCTCCAAAATTCAATATCACATAAAAACTTCTACTTGATTAAATAACAACATTCACATTTTTCTTTATTTTCTCTAAACTTAAAAAGTTAAGGTGAGTGAGGTCGCACTTATAACCAATCACCCTGTATTTTAAGTTTACGAAAACATCTTTTTTTTCACGTCTTTTGAAAATTATCAATAAATAATTTCTTACCTTTTCACTATGTTTAAATTCCCTAAGAACTCTATCGTAATCCTTTTTGGTTACTCTTTCGGGATAACAACAAGCACTTTTAATAAAAGTCTTAAGAGATCTCTCTAGAAGCGCATTTATTTCGCCATAGTCGTAATCATCGTGACGAATGCCGAGTAAACACTGAATATAATTCCAGATCGCTCTGCGGAACCTCGAGGTGTCCACATCCGTCCTGCCGCCCATGGTATAGTAGGTCAGGTTATACGCAGTCTTAAATTTGTCATCCAGTAGATTTCCCACATCGTTATATAACCTGGAATAAGGGTACACGTTTATTTATTATTATTATACATCGTTTAATTTCAGGAGAATGTTATAGACGTTTGCATCTGCTTTAAGTGATGTGGATATAAGGTGAAGCTGGTTCAGATACATTTCAATATCTTCGTAAAAATTTTCAATCTATCATTTTTTTAACGTAAGTTGTTTTATATACTTTTATATATTATACAGGGTGTCCCGAAATTCATGCAACAAAATTTGGTCATAGATTCTTAAGACAAATTTAGGGGGCCCGTATTTTTCCTTTTTGCCAACTGGCTTTGGAGTTACAGCCCCCTGAAATCTGTCCCTAAGAAGTCTTTTTTATATCTCAAAACCATGTTGTACGAGAATCACTAAATTTGGTACACAGGGGTTTTATGACATGTGGAATCTCACAGTGCTACGCTTTTTTGTGAGAAGCCCCCTTAAGACATTTTTTCGTGGGCTCCCTTGTCTTTGGAACCAGAAAAATTTGGTCACAAATTTAATATTTTTTTTAATTATTAGTTAGCTAGAAAGCCAATGAATTTAGAAAATTTTTTGTTCCTTGATAAAACATTTCGTAAAACGCAATGTTTTTGAGGAAAATGGCGAATCATGATATGCATTCGATGACATTTTGACATTTTTCTCGAAAACATTGCGTTTTACGAAAAAAATATAAAGAGACAAAAAGTTTCTAAGTTTAATGGCTTTCTAGTGGACTGATAATTTTTAAGAAATTTAAATATGCGACCAAATTTTTTTGGCTCCAAAGACATAAAACCCCTGTGTACCAAATTTAGTGATTCTCGTACAACAGGGTTCTGAGATATAAAAAAAATAAAAAATACGGGTCCCCTAAATTTGTCCTAAGAATCTGTGACCAAATTTTGTTGCATGAATTTCGGGACACCCTGTATATAATAGTTGTTTTGATATCTGCATCCATATCTGCAACTGCTGATACCGAAAAAATGACGTCTGTAACATCCCTAATGTACTAGTACATTTTTTCATTCTATAGTACCAAAATGTATTAAAAAATGTTACTACAGGTCTTAGATTACATATTCGATGCGTCGGTTTTTGTGTTTCGGTTAACTATCTCTAAATTATTATTTAATCAGAACATTATGTGTGCAAGTTGATAATGTACTTCCATAACAAAATAGAGTTGATCATCATTCCTTATCAATACACGTGTATGTCATTCGATAAGAGTAACATATAATTCGACTATCTTTTTTTTAATCCAGTGACCCTTGGTCTTTATAATTCGGTTTATATACGAGGGTTGACTTTTATATTTCGGGAATGGACGATCATGGTGCTGCCATCTGACGACCGACGCACAGTGGTCGGATATCGATATTAGGTGGCCAAAAATGGGATAAATAAAATTTTCAATTTTTCTTGTTTTCTGTGTTACGAATGAACACCTAGCTTACAATTTAATATTTGCTGAAGCTTTTGAAAATTCATGTAAGTACATAGTGATTACTTAAAGTTAATGTTGATGTCATCAATGAAACATTTTTTTCATCTATGAAGTAATGAGCCTATGAAAAATCGCTTATTTTATTATTTAATCTATTCAGATTATTTTAATATTGAAAATTTTGTGACTATCAATTTGAATTCAAAACAGAACACACATTGTATTGTATAAAAAAACTTCCACTGACTTCCGCATTGATACTTATTTAGCATGAAGTATACAGGGTGATTCACAACTTATCCAAAAAAATTTGGGAGTAGATGCGGCATGAGAAATGGAGTCAATATGTAAAATTTTTTGTAAAATCCTTAGTTTCCGAGAAAAAAATTATTGAAGTTATAGTACATTCAACCACTACATAGCTGGACAACTGTAGTCTCTAGTGTCACTCGCAATACGCCAGGAGAGCTACATGGCCTTAGCGACTCCGAACACTGAAATCTGTCGTTGCGATAGTGTTTACCTCTTATCTGTGGTGTTTACAACAGTTTTTTAGTAGTTAGTGTCTAAAATGGTTTGCATGTATAGCAACTCGGAGTTGATGGATATCGTTTTAATTTATGTTGAAGCAAGACAACATTTCTGTTAGTTCGTAGAAAGTGAGTAAGACGGATCCAAATATGTTTACACGTTGGTGGATAAAATTTTGAACAATTGTTGTAACATCGGGTATGTCAAATGATTTTATTATTTAAAAACACAAATTAATTTTATGAATTAATAAAGGCAAAAGCATTTAAATTTGCCGATATAAAATAGATGCTATAAAATTCTATTTATTTCTTTCTTTGCGAAAGTTTTTGTCCGTTTTTATCACACCGC